CTGTCCAGCAGAAAGGTTAGTCGTGGCCAAAGGAGGATTCAGACAATTTTCTGTACTTTCTGGTTGGTTTCTACTATCTGATATTGTAGCACGCTAACTTTGTTTGGGCTCGTGCACATTATTTGAGGACATGCAGCGTGCCTTCCAACATGAGGGGGCAGTGTCTGCCTTACAACCAATCAGCATTAAGGAGCAGGGTCTTTCTACCTATAATGACATTCCCCCAATCATGTCACGAGAGTCAAAGTGTGTCAACATGCACCTTATTTACTGCCTACGGGCCCAGACAATACTGTCAGCTGACCTGGCTGTGCCACCTCAACTTCTACCACTCCGAACAGAAAGTGCAAAGTTAAAATCAGGTGGGGAGCTGCTAGAGAATCACAACAAACTTTTTCGTCTTCAAAACTTTCACCGTCAGTTTTCCGCTTTCAACCTTTCAATTTTTACCTACCACTTCAACCGGATAAAAACACAGACCTGGATCATTTAGAGGATTACATCGACAATTACTACAATAGACTCTGCACCATGGGACGCCCGCAAAAATCCAAAAAACCACGCACCACGGACTCATCCGCCTCATCCACTTCCACTTCGCCGGCACCCTCACCGACAACTTCACCAAAACCTCCCTGCTGCACCGAGGTAAATGACTTATTGATATCCATTGACAATAAACTTACCGGACTGGATGCAAGAGTAGCGCTAATAGAAGTATTACACAAGGAATTTCAACACCTCCGTCACAGCCTAGAATACAGTCAACAACAAATAGACACACTCACACGCGAAAACAAGTCACTCCAGCACTCCGTTTCAACCGTATCGAACCAGCTTTCCTCGATCACCACTCAACTAGCCTCTGTCACCAAAGAAAACAAAATCATGAAAGAAACCATCCTGGATCTAAAGTCACGCAGCATGAGAGACAACCTAATCTTCACCGGCATTCCTGAGCCATCCACGGACCAACCCGAAACAGCAGTAAAGGACTTCATGATCAAACAGCTTAAACTTCCCCCTGACACCGTCAACACCATCTCCTTCCACTGTGTTCACCGTTTGGGACAAAAACACACCAACATCACCCGTCCCCGGCCCATCATCGTCAAATTCGAGCACACAAACACAAAGAACTTGTACAACGACAAGGCAGACAACTTAAAGGAACGGACTATGGACTTAACGATCAATTCCCACCCGAAATCAATCACAGACGCAAACAACTCTTCCCCATCCGCAAGCAAATGATCAAAGAGGGTAAGAGAGCAGTCATATCAGTAGACAAACTTTACATTGATGGACAGTTATTCAAAGATAAGGACATTACACCCTGGCTTTACTAAACCACTCGCTCATCATTAACTACTTCCCCCCCCCCTTTCGCTTTGCAACACATACACACACCATCTCTCTAAATTCTTCTAAACATAGACTATTGTATATTATCGCACCTATGTCTCTCTGCACTGTAACATAATGCACTCTAATCAGCACTGCAGCTTTTTGTCATGTTTGTTTTGTCTCTCTGTTTTGCTTTTTTGTTTTGTTTTTTGTTTTGTTGACTAATGCAATTGCACATGCTCACACACGCACACACACACACACACACACACACACACACACAGACACACCTACAACAGCATCACGCTTTCCTTAAAAACCTTTCAATATATCAACCCTTAAATTTGTAACCTGGAACATCCGTGGTATTGGCTCTCAGACAAAAAAAATCAAAGTACTCAATCACCTTAACAACCTGCATGCAGACATTTGCCTATTACAAGAAACCCACCTCTCACAATTAAACCATAACAATTTTAAAACATCAGAATTCATCCACTCATTCTCTGCCCCTTATAACTCAAAACAAAGAGGTGTATGTATTTTGATAAACAAAAGAATTTCATTTACCCATAATTCAACCATCACAGACCCAGAAGGACGGTTCATCATCATTAATATATCAATCAATAATAGCCCGGTAATAATTGGTAACATTTACGGTGTAAACACTGATGATTCATCTTTTTTTAACAACTTCTTCTCCTCCATCTCAAACATCTCCAACTGCCCAGTCATAATAAGAGGCGATTTTAATACAATTATTGACCCATCACTTGACAGATCCAATAACACAAGCAATAAACGCAACTGGCAATCCACTAAATTGCCAATAAACGCAACTAACAGTTCATGAGAGATTTCGGTCTTGGCGATAGTTGGCGATTACAACATCCAACCACCAAAGAATATACCTTTTACTCACCAGTCCATCATTCTTACTCCCGTATCGACTTCTTTCTAACCAGTAATTCAATCATATCTGAAATTTCCAATTCAAAAATCCACCCCATCATTATTATTGATCATGCTCTAATCTCAATTATATGGAATCCTTACACTCAACACAAACATGCTCCTAGATGGCGCTTCAACACATCTCTGCTCAGTGACCCAGACTTTGACAGTTACATCAAAAGAGAGTGGCCGTCCTTTTTGGAAATAAATGATTCCCCAAAGTCATCACATACACTTCTCTGGGAAACAAGCAAGGCAGTTTTAAGAGGCAAAATCATTTCATTCTCCGTCCACAAAAAAAAAGAAAAAAGGAGCAAGAAGTCAGACTGGAACAAAAAATAAAACAATTAGAAACCTTGAATGCAAATAATCCAACAGAAGACACTCAAAAGGAATTAAGAAAACACCAATTACAACTAAACGACATTTTAAACAAAAGAGCAAAATTCTAATTCATAGGTAAAGACAAGAAAACTATCATCACAACAACAAATCTGGTAAATACTTGGCAAATCAAATCAAACAAAATAAAGAAAAATCTATCATTTCCACCATTAAGGACTCAGCAGGGAACCCCACCAACTCACCGCAGGAAATAAATGAAATATTTAGAAACTTTTATGCCAAATTATACTCATCTGATAAAGACCCAAGACAGGAGGATATTGATTCATTTTTTAAAGACATTAAACTTCCACAACTTAATACAGATCAGGTCAATACACTCGACTCACCAATCACAGAAACAGAACTCTCTACCGCACTAAATCTCATGCCAAACAATAAAGCACCAGGTCCCGACGGCTTCCCTGCTGAGTTCTACAAACACTTCTGGTCCATTTTATCCCCACTCTTCATGAAAACAATAACTGAAATAAAACAAAACTCTAAGTTCCCGATACATATGAACACAGCTTTAATCTCACTTCTCCCAAAACCAAATAAAGATCACACCTTGCCGTCAAATTACCGTCCTATCTCATTAATCAATGTAGACATGAAAATCATCAGTAAAGCTCTCACACTTAGGTTAGAAAAAGTAACACCTCACATAATTCACCCAGATCAGACCGGCTTCATTAAAGGTAGACAGGCATCCAACAATACACGTAGACTGTTCAATTTAATCCACTACTCATCATTACAACAGGAAGACACCATCATAGCCACTTTAGACGCAGAAAAAGCTTTTGACAGGGTAAACTGGACTTTTCTCTTTTATACACTACAGAAATTTGGCTTTGGGGAATCATTTATTAACTGGATCAAGATTCTGTACACCTCACCATCAGCCACCGTCACCACTAATGGTCTAACATCACAAAGATTCACTCTGCACAGGGGGACCAGGCAAGGGTGCCCACTCTCTCCCTCCTTATTCACAATTTTCATCGAGCCCTTAGCAACAGCCATCCATCAAAACTCCCATATCCATGGAATTAAAACACTCGAAATACAGCACAAAATAAGTTTGTATGCAGAAGATATTTTACTTTTTCTTCAAAATCCTCAATCATCTCTGCAGGAATTAATAAATCTCTTTGAATCATTTTCCCAAATCTCAGACTACTCAATAAACTGGAATAAATCATCCATCCTCCCATTGCACAACACCAGATGGGATGCGACAGCCCATACATTACCCATTCCTCTATGCACGGGTCACTTCACATATTTGGGTATCAACATTTCCTCCAGGTTGTCAGAGCTGACAGAACTAAACTTTACTCCACTACTTAAAACAATAGATGATGACCTCCAATGCTGGATGAACCTACCACTATCCATTCTAGGCAGAATAGCAAAAATTAAAATGACAATACTACCTCAAATAAATTATCTTTTTTCAATGATCCCAACCCATCCCACTTCCACCTGGTTCAACTCTCTAAACTCGATAATCACTAAATTTTACTGGAAAAATAAAAAACCAAGGATCAAACTGGCCACACTTCAAAAACCCAAATTACAAGGCGGATTAGATGCACCAGATTTCAGTTATTACTCTCTGGCAAATCAACTACAGTACATATACAAATGAACACACCCCAATTACTCAGATCACACCTGGTTAGACATAGAACAGACACTCTGTAAAGATATCCGGATTTCAGACACACCATTTCTCAGTCTATCAATCAAACGCCACCCCTGTTTCAAAGCAATTACAATAGCATCTGCTCTGACAGCCTGGTGGAAATTTCACAAAATCACAAATACCACTCTTTCACCATCTAACCTCACCCCCATTTGGAACAATCCGGACCTCCTTTGCAACAAAAAAGCACTCAACTTTCACACATGGGCAGGAAAGGGCATCACACACCTTAAACACATTTTCCATAATAACACCCTGGCATCATTTCCCCACCTGGTTCAGGAGTACGGCATCGGGAGTAATCAATTTCTGGAATATTTACAGCTAAAGTCATCTGTCAAATCAAAAATTAACATCAGATCCACAAATCTAGACCTTTCACCTACAATATCAGAATTTATTAATATCCTTTTCCCCAAAAAACTCCTCTCCAAAATATATAAAATAATATTAGAATCTGACAAAATCATTTCCATCCGACCAATTTATCATTTCTATTATATATATATATATATATATATATATATATAGATAGATACATATATATATATATATTTTCCTTTTAAATTTATTTATTTTTCTGTCTGAGAGCCAACCAATCAATTATACATAAATCTATCCATACTATCAATAACATTCCTACACATGTTTTGAATACACACGCACACGCAGGCAGACACACATGCATACACACACCGCACTCAATAAAACACATTAAGGGGAGGGGAATGAAGAGGGAAAGGGAAAGATAGGGAAAAAAAAAAAAAAAAAAGAAAAGAAAGAAAATGTGCATTTGTATATGTGTGTATGTATGGTATGTATGGTGTGTATGTATGGTCTCCCCGGGTCATTGAGGTAGTGGTGATGGTGTAATGATGATGATGGTGTTGGTGGTGACGGTAGTGGTGTGCCGGTAGTGGTGGTGATGGTGGATTGGTGATGGTGATGATGATGATGGTAGTGGCAGGGGGGGTGGCGATTGCTGTGGGGATGTGGAATGGCAGAGGTCGTTGTGGTGTGCGGCGGTGTGGTCTGGGCTGGGGGGTGGCTTGGGTCCCTGTGCCGCCGGAGGGTGGGCTGGCTGGTGCCCATGGTTCCCCGGTGTCCTGGGATTGGCTGGCCATGCCTGCTGCTGCCTGGACCTGGTGGGCGCAAAATGTGGGGATCCTGTGTGGGCCGCGGGCCCCGCCCCTTTTTGGCACCACTCTGCCCCAGTTTCTTTTTTTTGCCCCGGGCCAGTTCCATGTCACATGCCTCTCCGACTTTTAATGCATCACACACCAACCCTTCACACCCCACTTTTTAATGCATACATCACAGTGAAGTTTTTAATGCACCACATGAACATACCACAAGAGGAGAGTCATGTGCGGCCCAGGGTATTTAGAGGTGGAGTGGATGGTCAGTTCGGTTGGCGGGTGGCCGCGGGGCGGGGCCCTGTGGGGTGCCCCGCGGGCGTCCCACCACGGTGGACGTGGGTGCCGGTCGGCCTGCTCTTTGGTGTGTGCAGGGGGCCGGGCCGGCCTCTGGCCCGGGCCATAGTGTTGTAAATTGTGGTGATTTTTGTTGTTCCATATCTTCATTACTATGACTGTCATTATTGTTAGCGTCGTTGCGGTCATTCGTTTGCTGTCATTGCTATCGCCGGTATTTCTGGTGTTGTCATTACTAATGCTGTTGTGGTTGTTGTATCTTCGCTGTTGTGTCGGTGATTCGGGGGGATTGTGTGTGTGTGTGTATATATGTGTATATATATGTATATGTATGTATATATGTATATGTGTGTATGTATGTGTGCATGTATGTGTGTATGTGTATGTATATGTATATATATAGTTATTACTACATAGATATTCCAATGTAATCCAGTAAGATTTTTTTTTCTTTTCTTGTTAAATTCTCTATTACATATTATATAAATTCTTTCCCCCTCCCCTCCCTCACAAAAGTATTTTTGTAATTTTTTTTATTTTTTATCTTTTTGTTGTTGTTGTTGTTTCTGTTGTTGTTGTCACACTATTTTGTTGTTAAATAAAAAAAAATAAAAAAAATCAGGTGGGGAGGCCTCATTGAGAACAGTCAAGTTCGTGATCTAAAATCAGGACCAACTGTAAAAGACTTGTTCAGCAGAGAGCAGACGTTCATATTTATGGTGAGTGGTGGCTGATTAACAACAAATTTTGTGGTGAATGAGCTGTAGGGAAAGATCTGAGGTTATTCAAATTAGTGGTAGAATTGTAGGTTTTCTGCATACACTGCTTTTTGCTGATGATTACCAAAATGTGAAATGTTGGACATAAGATAGTCAAGTCAAGTCAAGTCAAGTTAAGTCAAGCAGGGCAATTTAAGGTGCTTTACATGAAACAAGCAGGCAAAACATTCAACACAATTTGAAAAGTAAAAACAGCGTAAAAGACATTTAACAAATTTAAAGTTACATTCAAAACTAAATTAAGGTTGGAGATAAAAGAAAACAAAGAGAGAGAGAAAAGAGATCAAGACAGGCAGATGATGAAGATGTTGATTAGGGGCCTCAGGTTTGATTTAATGATAGGCCACGGCAAACATATGCGTTTTCAGCTGTGATTTAAAAGAACTGAGAGTTTCAGCAGATCTACATTTTTCAAGGAGTTTGTTCCAGATATGAGGAGCATAAAAACTAAAAGCTGCTTCTCCATGTTTAGTTCTGACTCTGGGGACAGAGAGCAGACATGCTCCTGATGATCTGAGCGGTCTGGATGGTTCGTAACGTACCAGCAGACAGGCCCGGATTAAACCCTCTGTGGCCCCTGAGGCTAAGCAAACCTAATGGCCCCCCTCTGTCCCGCGCGCAAAAAAATGGCAGTTTTTATTGGTCATTTTGTGGAAATTACTGCAGTTATGGGTGGTTATTTAACGGTTCCACTAGCCACCACCTCTAGCCAAACCACTGGGTTAATACAACTGTCAGATGTTTTGACACTGTGATACTTGAATAAATGTTTTATACCATATTTTGAATTAATTCAGACCTTTTGTGCATTTATTTTTGTCTTGTTACATTTTTTCCATTATTCCAATTTTGGGGAGCGTGGTAGCAATTTGATTGACTTTCAGCCATTTATGGCCATGATGTGCTGTTTATATTTTATTGCTTTTATTACACAGTAGGTTGTGTCATTTTTATGTATAAAACATAAGCTTTTAGCTAAATTCACTGTATATATTTCATTGTGCTGGGTGCAAATCACTTGAGTTGAGACGTTTTCTTTCAAAATCTCAATTCACTTATGTGTATACTAAGGCACCGATAACTGTTTCAGATGTTAGGTAGATGTATTTATGACATTTGAGAAAGATTTTGTCTTGCCAGAATCAACATAGCAGTTTCTACAAGCAAAAACAGCAGCACCATATAATCGTTTTTTGTGTTACTCACATATATGTACATTTCTGGCTGGTCTTTTGTCTCACTCTGTAGAGAAAGCCACTTTCTAATACTAGTTCTGTAAGTTTCCCAACGTGTCCTTGTAAAGTCGAGAACGTCTTCACTCTGGACAGATGATAGATGCATATAGCATCGTTTCGTTCCTTTTTTATGCACTTTTGAAGGCTGATTTCTTTTTCTCCTTTTCTTTTCTTCCTCTTCACTTGTCTCGCTGCTAGATGCGGTCGTCGCCATGTTTGTGTATTTCTGTTACTATGGCAGCGAGACTCGGCTCCTATTGGTCCATGTGACAAAAATCGCTTCACCTCCTGCATATTCGATTGCGCGTGTGCAAGTATCACTACGCTGCAGAAGGGAAATAGTTCGACACCAAAACACTGATTACTAAAAATCGACAGGGTGGCATGAGTAGATATTTTTTTTCAGTACTAACTATCAATAGAGCTATTTTATTAATCACAGTCTATGTTGCCCCACTGAAGTGGAACGAGATTCACTTTCTAGGCACTTTTTCCTCTGTCCCAATACAGCCTAATCCTCCTCACACCAGGCGCAGCTCATCAGCGTCATAGTGGCTTCTGCCTCACTATGCCTCATGGTTAATCCGGCTCTGCCAGCAGATCAGAAATGTATTTTGGTCCTGAACCATTCAGTGCTTTAAAAACCAGCAATAGTATCTTAAAATCAATTCTTTGACTGACGGGAAGCCAGTGTAAAGATCTGAGAACTGGGGAGATATGATCTACTTTCTTGGTCTTAGTGAGGACTCAAGCAGCAGCATTCTGAATCAGTTGGAGCTGTCTGATGGATTTTTTGGGGAGACCTGTGAAGACACTATTACAGTAGTCGAGTCTGCTGAAGATAAATGCATGGACAAGCTTTTCCAAATCCTGCTGGGTCATCAGTCCTTTAACCCTTGATTTATTCTTCAGGTGATAGTAGGCTGACTTTGTAATTGTCTTTATGTGGCTGTTAAGATTCATGTCTGAGTCCATGACAACACCAAGGTTTCTGGCTTGGTTTGTGCTTTTTAACATTATCGACTGAAGCTGAGCTCAGACTTTTAATCGCTTTTCTTCTGCTCCAAATACAATTACTTCAGTTTTATCTTTGTTTAGTTGAAGAAAATTCTGACACATCCAATCATTGATTTGTTCAATGCACTGACTCAGTGTTTGTATTGGATTGTAGTCGCCTGGCGATATGGTTATGTAAATCTGTGTGTCGACTGCATAATTATGGTAAGATATTTTGTTGTTTGCTATGATTTGAGTTAGAGGGAGCATGTAAATGTTGAATAGGAGTGGCCCCAGAATGGAGCCTTGGGGAACCCCACATGTCACTTTTGTTTGCTCTGATGTGTAATTACCTAGAGACACAAAGTAGTCTCTATCCTTTAAGTAGGATGCAAACCAGTTTAGTACTGTTCCAGAAAGTCCCACCCAGTTTTCCAGTCGATCGAGTAGGATGCTGTGGTCTACCGTGTCGAAAGCGGCACTGAGAACGAGCAATACTAGGACTGAAATTTTGCCATTGTCTGAGTTTAAGTGGATGTCGTTAAAGACTTTGATAAGACCAGTCTCAGTGCTGTGGTGCGGTCGAAACTCTGACTGGAAAATGTCAAAACAGTTGTTGAGGACTAAGAAGTTGTGAAGCTGTTGGAAGGCTGCTTTTTCAGTGATTTTGCTTAAAAACGGGAGGTTCGATATAGGCCTATAATTGTTCATTACTGAGTTGTCTAGGTTGCTTTTTTTTAGGAGAGGCTTTATGACAGCAGTTTTCAGGGCCTGTGGAAAGACACCTGACAGAAGTGACATGTTGACAATCTGTAGAAGATCTGAGGCCATGCAATTAGAAACTGTTTTAAAGAAGCCTGTTGGCAGAATATCAAGGCAGCAGGTGGAGGAGTTCAGATTTAGTATGATGTCCTACAGGGTTTTAATGTTGATCGGGTTGAATTGTGTCATGCTACTGGGGTTAGTACGCATGGACAACACATGTCCTGTACCGGATATTGAGCTACTGACTGTTTGTCTAATTTTCTGGATTTTGTTATTGAAGAAGGAGGCAAATTCATTACAAGCCTTGGCGGACAGAAATTCAGAGGCTACTGATACTGGGGGGTTTGTTAGCCTGTCGACTTTGGTAAATAGGGCGCATGCATTATTTTTGTTTTTGGTGATGATGTCTGAGAAGAAGGATCGCCTAGCATTTCTCAGTTCTAGGTTAAAGGTACGAAGTCTCTCTTTATAGATCTGATAGTGAACCTGAAAGCTTGTCTTTCGCCATCTGTGTTCGGCTTTCCGACACTCTCTTTTTTCAGCTCTAACCAGCGTGGCGTTCCTCCATGGAGATCTTTTCTTGCCAGAGACTATTTTCACCTTGGTGGGCGCAATGGCATCCATCACATTTGTGATTCTAGAGCAAAGGTCTTCTACAAGCTCATTGACTGAGAGCCGTGAGAGAGCTGGGAGGGGAGTCAAAGCCTGATTAAATAATTCACTGGTGTTGTCAGTGATAAGCCGCTTGGTGATTACCTCTGTCTGAGTAGTAGTGAATGGCATTGAAATAGTACTCCCAAAAAACACACAGGAGTGATTAAGAATAGCAACATCAGTAACCATGATTTTGGGTATGTTCAGGCCCTTGGAAATAATTAAGTCTAGAGTGTGACCTCTATTGTGTGTGGGCTCTGTTACATGTTGGCTCAAACCATAGTTATCAAGGAGACAGCATAATTCTTTGGTGCCTCTGTCCTGGGGGTTGTCAACGTGAATGTTAAAATCACGAACAATCACTGCACAGTCAAAGTCAATACAGATTATAGACAGCAATTCAGTAAAGTCATAAAAAAAATTCACACAGTATTTAGGAGGTCTGTAGATGTTAAGGAATATTGCTCTAGTAGCAGAGTTCAACTGGAAGGCCACATATTCAAAGGAAGGAAAATTCCCATAGTACATCTGTTTACATTGCATTGAGTCCTTGAATAAGATAGCTACTCCACCTCCTTTTCTATGCTTCCTCGTTTCACTCATAAAGCTGAAGTTAGGGGAGGCTGACTTGATAAGAACAGTTGCACTGTTATCTTGTTCTAACCAGGTTTTAGTTAAAAACATTAAGTTAAGATTGTGCTTGATGATAAAATCGTTGATTAAGAATGATTTTCCAGCTAAAGATCTGACATTTAAAAGAGCTGAATGTAATGTGCTAGAGAAATTATCTAGTGCTGGGCGATAGGACGATAGATATCGTGGGCACGATAGAAAATGTCTATCGTGCCATTTTTATTTTTATCGTTTCGGGCGATAGGCTGTATTTTATCCATAGGGCTTGTGCCATCAGATGATTCATAGTAACAACAACAATAATTGCACATTCAGTAAGTGTATTTGGTGTCAAACGGGAAAGAAAACAATATTTTCTTACAAAGAAAAGGATGCGTTGACATGTAGGCTCGCATTTCTCTTTCGATTTTGCGACATGACGCCGCTTTACGTGCTCTCTTCGTGTCCAGCGTCTCCCGCTGTTGCGGGTTACCTGGGTTACACACGTGAGGGGATCATTGTAAGCAGTGCTTAATTTGTGCCTGAGCAAGTCGGAGCGCGCTCCAGGACCTCTTTTGATCGGATCCGGGACCTATTTCAGCCGCTCTGGCACCTGTTTCATCTGCTCCGGGACCTTCTCTGTAGAGGATAACATTTTTCGGGAATTCCCATGGGTCACTTGATTCCCGCGGGAATCCCACGGGATGGGAGTCATTTTTAATCCATCCCTTGATCGGGACGGGAAAAAAAGCAACGGGAGTGGGCAGGAGCGGGAACAACATTAATAGATGATCATTTTCAGCCGTGTTAAACAACCAGATGAACAGGTGCGTCCATTTTTGTAGTCATCTCTCAGTGAGAGCCAACACTCTTGAACGCGCTAGCAACACAAAAGAACTACAACAGTGGTTTGACTTCCTGTCAGCTGGGAGTGTGGCTGCGCATTTCTATCCTTCAAGCCAGGAGCGAGGAAACGTAATTTTGTGACATTCTGTAGTTTTTCAATCATTTCTGGAGTCGTGGCGAATCAAATCACCTTACCTGTCAGCCCCTGATAGGCGAATAAAGCGCTCGGATTCATGCTCGGGTCTTGCTATGTGCTTCAAGAGTAAAGTAAACAATGATGGAGGCAGAGAGCAGCTTTGGAGGAGAAACATCCAGCAGTGTGAACAACCTCTTCAAAAGAGCCCCAAAGACCTACCTTTTTAATAAAGCCTTTGGTTAGCTTTCCTCTATGCTTTTACTACCTTGCCTCTTACATTGCAACTCTATATTCTTTATTTTTTTAATTCTTTTATGCCAATCTGTGACTGTCATTCTATTGCTTTTTTTATTGTTGCTGCTCTTTTTTTACTGCGCACTGTAGCACTTTGAGATTTTTTGTAAATGTAAAGTGCATTACAAATTAAATGTATTATTATTATTATTATTATTATTATTATGGAGTGCTTTGGCTCACACTATCAGTGTTTTCTGTGAGTGTTGCATAACTTTGGGTGAGCACAGACATGAACTCACTTCAGCCATGTATTTATTTATTTATTCATTTTTCTAGCTTTAAGTGCTGGTCTTGTACTGGCACTGTACTAAGGCAGCTGTATACACTTTAATTGTTCATAGAACTGAAAGCATACCATAGCTTTATCGTGGTATATATCGTTATCGTGATATAAAATGATCCATATCGTGATATACATTTTTTTCCATATCGCCCAGCACTAAAATTATCTGTACTATTTTTCATGATGGGCTGACGGGGGATGGAGGCTAAGTTTGATAAATTCTTAGTTAGGTACCTTCTGTTTCTAGGCAGATTAGTATGTCTATTACTTATTATGACTGGGATTTATGACGTTATCTCATCGGGCCGCAGGCTGACCTGGGAAGAGATATAACTGTAGTTATCCTTGCCTGGACCCAAAACATAACAGCAAGAGCTTATTGAGAACGAGGTGTTCCTCACTATTAGTCCTGTGCTCTTATCACGCTGAGGGAGAGGATGCTGCAGTACTCCTTGTCGTGGGGGAGGAGGAGGGGCTGTTTGGAGGATTTTGGGCGATTTGGGGAGTTTGGGGGGGGGTCCTGTGGCGGGAGTGGTGGAGAGGCGTGCCGCTAAGTCTCACTCCAGCATTCTCCGGTTCTCTCAGTTCAGCTGGAAAATCCAGGGAGGAGGAGGGGGATGGTGTGCCCAGGGAGGAGGATGCTATGGGTGAAGTTTGGCAGGGCACGTCCTCCTCAGTAGGTGGGCATACAGGAAGTAGAGATTCCTCCTCCTTGCTTGAGCAGGGTGGGTCCTCTAAGGAGAGTGGTGGTAGAGGAGGTACAGACTCCTCCTTCTGGCTTGAATCAAAGCTTTTAGTGCGCGGGGGGGCCCGAGGCGTCTCTCTGTCAAGGCCGTGGTGTTTTATCTCGTCTTTTTGCCTCTTGTCTCTTGTCCTTGACAGATGGGTGACGCAGGGAGTGATACAGGTTGGAGGTGAATAGCTTCACTTCAGCTTTGTTTAGAGAGAGTCCGTCTGCTCTGAAGTAATGCCTGCGGTCCCAGAACAGCCTGAAGTTATCAATAAAGTTGATAAGATTTGATAAGATAAAAGGTAGATGAGTCTACTGCAACAACAGTGGACGATGAGGGGGAGTTTACAAGGTATAGGTCTGGTGTTGTGATGTAAGAAAGTTTGGCTGCAGTAGCGACAATTGGGGACATACATCAGTAGGTGTAGCAACAGAGTTTTCTTGGAGATGTCTGAGGAACAAAGTGTGTGGTCAAGTTACTGAGTTTTACAGAGTTCAGGTGTCTCAGGGTGGATATGGCATGGAAAATGTTTGCAGCTAAATTGGGCACCAACAGGACTGGGATGGATACAATCTCTGTTATAGAATGATGCACGCTGCCAAAAAAGATTGAAATTGTCACTAATAACAAAGTTGTTGGGGGAGCATGCTGATTAGAGCCAGGAATTGAGACTGAACAACCTGCTAAAACAGCCCATCCCTGGATTGAAGGAGGGGATCAGACCTAATTTTTTTTTCCATTTTTTTTTTTGGCAGACTCATGTCACATTTCCAATTTTCTCTCATCCATTTTCTGTTTGTTATTAAACAACTTGGTGTCAATTTGATGTGGGCAACACTGACATTTTTTTAAATAGCCCTTCAAAATGGACGCATTGTGCTCTGACCTCTAGGGGGTTCTAAAACTTGCCAATTTTTTCAAAGCATTAGGGTGGTCTAACTTGTCAGGTGTGCCGTGGGAAATTCTCCAATTTGTGTGCCTGTGCGGTCTAGCGCCTGGCAGAGTAATCATGTAGTACTCTTCCATACCAGTAGGTGGAAGCAGCAGGTAGCTAATTGCATTGTGCTTGGAGACAAGCGAATTAGTGATGCATGGATGCAGCCGCAGGTGGCGTTGACGGTGTCATTGTGGATAGCGTGACGACGGTGATAGTGATGGATACGTTTTTGAAGAGAAAAAATGCTGACTCTGTACTGGACCCTGGACAAAATCCAGACCCAGATAAAGGCCCTAGTATGAGTGGAGGTCAAAAGAAAGCAAAGACGGTGATGTCGAGCAAAGTTTCTGGCGCAAGGCAATACAACGAAAGCTATCTTTCATTTGGATTTACTTTTACCGGAGATGCAACAGCACCGACTCCGTTGTGCTTGGTATGCGGTGAAAAGCTCTCCAACAGTGCTATGGTCCCAAGTAAGCTTAAAAGCCATCTCCAAACTAAACACCCTTCACTCCAAAACAAAAATTTGGAGTATTTTGTTTGCGTGAGTGAACACACGGAGAAACAGGCAACTGTCATGAGAAAAACCGCAAAGGTAAACGAGAGAGCCCTTAAAGCTAGCTACCACGTCGCTGAACTTGTGGCTAAATCGAAAAAGTCCCACACTGTGGCAGAGCAATTAATACTTCCCACCTGCAAAGGGTCACATCAGAATATCTGGAAAAAGGAGGACTTATTAAGTGGTAAAACTGCATGAGTGTCTACACTGATGGAGCTGCAGCCATGGTCGGGCGCACCAAAGGCTTTGTAAGCAGAGTGAAGGAGAAAAACCCAGATGTGATCATTACCCACTGTTTTTTACACTGCGAAGCCCTCGTAGCCAAGACTTTACCAGCAGACCTTGTTCCTGTGTTGGATGATGTTGTGCGCATGGTAAACTTTGGGAAGTCATGACCTGTGAAAAGTCCACATTTGCGGCTTTGTGTGAGGAAATGGGAGCGGAGCATAAAGCCTTGCTGTTTCATACAGAGGTCCGATGGTTGATGCGTGGCAAGGTGCTGGCCCGTTTGTTTGAGCTGCGAGAGGAACTTAAAGTGTTTCTGACAAATGAGGGGCCTGATTACGCAAAGCTGCTTGCAAGTGATGAGTGGTGTGCAAGGCTGGCATACCTGGCAGATATTTTTCATCATCTGAATGAACTGAACACACGAATGCAAGGCCGAAATGAAAACCCGCTTACAAATACAGATAAAATATATGGATTCCGTTCCAAGGTGCAATGCTGGCAGCAACATGTGGAAAGTGGCAATCTTGAAATGTTCCCACTCACCAATAAATGGCAAGATGTTAATACTGCTGCACTGTGTGAGATAATAGTTAAACATTTGAAAACTCTTGAGAAGATGTCATTTTATTTCTCTTCAGTCTCCACGGAGTGCCTTGACTGGGTTAGGGACCCATTCAGCTCAGAATCAGCTGTTGGAAAGGACATGACTTTACAGGAGCAGGAGGAACTAACTGAACTGAGACAAGATCGTGGTCTCAAGCTAAGCTTTGCTGATCTACCTTTGGACAGCTTTTGGTTGGCAGCTGCCAAGGAGTTCCCCATGCTGGCCCACAAAGCTATTTTGACATTGCTCCCATTTTCCACAACATATCTGTGTGAAGTGAGCTTTTCAAGCCTTACTGTTGTAAAAACTAAAAACAGAGAAAGACTGAGAGCTGTGGAGGAAGAGCTCTGTGTGTGTCTTTCATCGATTCCTGCCAGGATATCAGCTCTGTGTTCGACCAAACAGGCCCAGGTTTCACACTGAGTATAAATATGAAAGATTATAAAATACTTTTTTCTTTGTTTTTATTTCATTCCTATTCAAGACGTCCTATTCAACATCATTCTTCAATGTTATAAAAAGCTTATTTTAACAATATTGTTAATATAAGCTTTTTTTTACATTTTCAGCTGGTGGTGTGCCGCTGGATTTTCTCAATGAAAGAAATGTGCCTTGGCTCGAAAAAGGTTGAAAAACACTGGTCTAGCTCTGCCATTGTTTCTTTGAAAAATCTCATTCTCAATCTCAACATTCTGGGATGATGGGCCACTTAACCCTCCTATTATCCTCAAATACTACTAACACATTTTACCCTTGGGGTCAATTTGACCCCAGGTATATTTGCATTCAGAAAATGATTTACATGCAATTGTTGACCAAGCTTTGTTTATTTTTTGAGTACATAGATAACCCCTCAAAAATGAAACCTATCAGTGGGTTGACCTGTTCTCTAGTGCCACCTCTAGGCCAAACTTTTAAAGTAGAATAAATGGATCTTGAAAAGTTTTCATACAAATCTTCTCAAATTTACTGACAACCTTTATGACCACAAGAGGATGAACCCTACCAGTTATGGTGATGTTATTACTTTTCCTGTAGTGCCACCATCAGGTCAAACTTTCAGTTTTAGAGTTAGTGTATCTTGAAAATCTTTCATCCAACATTTTTCTAATCTGAGGTGCACATTTACGACTCTCAGAGAATGAACCATATTGATTTTTTTGCATGAACTACCAATATACATGTGGGAATACCCCACCCTCCACAGCACAGAAAATAAAGTATCAGTCCTATACTTGGACACGCACACACACACACCTTCATGCCCATGGTGCAGCAAAATTATGGTCCCTCCACTGACTTTAACAACAAGGTAGACGTGCTGCAGACTGTGTGTCTCACCAGACACACAGTCTGCAATGTTGAAGACGTCCATTATTTGAGCTCTTCGTATAAGCTTCAATTAAAAATAAAATATTTGATATGATCATTATAGAGGTATTTTTAGTTGGAAAGACTTGGGTGTGATCAACTTGCTAGCCTACAGTGGCTTCCTCATTTTGGCAGGAGCTTACAAGTCAAGTTGTTTTTCACATGTCCACACTATGAGGAGTATCAAATTTCTGGACGGAATAGTTGTTTTTTCCAACCCCCTGTTATGTATCAACCATAGACTGTATAAAGAATGGACAGAGTCTGCCTCCTCGCTGGGTGAAGCCACTCCGAGAACAGCACCCTCTGATGGTGGGCTGCAGTACAGGTCATAAATCCCGCCTCCGCCAGCAAAGCTTATGGGACTGTGGACAAACTTTAGAAATTTATTACACAGAACATACATTTTTCTCCCCCCTGCTTGTGATGTTGACATGTAGTTATTGTAAGACTGGTTTGTGCCCAAGTCCTTTTTTTCTGTACAGCTCCGTTTTTAAAAGTTATTAGGGGGTTCATGTTTTCTATGATTGACACCTGGTACAGCCTATGGGCGTTCAGGGATTGCGTAGCTCACCCGGGGGGGATACGCTGTTTGAGCCAAGCGTCATCACAGGGACTCTCGGCGACTGTGCGGCCGAATGTGCGCATCGCTACTGCGCAGCTCTGGTTTCAAGGAAGTGGAGAAAAACCCGGAATTACCGAGACCTTTTTGGCTTCAAATCCATATACAGGCGGAAGGCGGAACCAGGTTGTCCATAGTCTATACAGTCTATGGTATCAACTCAAAAGTATCAACTCTGCACCTGTAGGTATAGGGATGTTAGGTCACACATGCAGACAGGCAAGTTTTAAACCGCCAAAACAGCTTGGGGTCAAATTGACCCCAGAGGAATATGTGTACAACACATTAAAAAAATATCCTCATGATAATTTTATGCTAAATCAGTTAACATAATAGAATAAACCAGGGTTGGATACCATAATTCGTAGGAAGTAGGAATCGTAATTACATTTAGTGAGCACCGGGTAGCTATAACTAAAAAAAACTAATAATTTTGGTTCTGATTATTGATTCCTGGATGCGCTTATTTACACAGTGGCTGCTTACGGATTTTAGATATCTGCCAGGCCATGTCAGTTGCATGTCCACTATGTCACATGATGCTGCAGGTTGTCAACACAGCAGACAGAGGAACAAGCAGCAGCAGATACTAGCAACAGAAGATGGACCGGGAAAAGCGGTCAGAGATGTGGCTTCATTTCACAAAAGACAGTGGTGATGAACAGGAAAAACGTGGTAAGCTAATAAGGTGCAAGAAAGGTTTTATGATATCACTGATGAAGAATAGAATCAGGTTTATCAAATCAAAGATATCATTTGTGGAAGCTATCGGATGCACATGCTACTTCTTCATTGCTCCACAGTGCCTCCAAATGCAAAAGTTTTTTTGTCATATCAGCATTTCATCCACATAGAAATGGTCTTTTGGGTGACTGGAACCTGTTTTCCAAAAGTATTGTTTACAGAGTGCATAAATCCGTAAAGGACTACAGTTCTGTCTTTGTGTTGATGTCTTTCTTGAAACGATTACATCACTCACAACAACCTTAATACACATGCTCGATACTCTTCTGTCTTCTGACCCAAACCTCTGGTTCTTCTTAATCGATGAATCAAAGAAAAGAGACAGAGTGTTTATTACCTTTCAAACTGACTCCATCACTGACCATTAAAATAATCACTCATGCCTCAACCCAGGTCTCCCATTTGAGATTTACTGTCTTAAGTGTGTGAACACATGGACTCCAATTCAAGACCGGGGTGTGTTGCGGGGCATACGCCCCTGAGATGGGGAGGGGGTGATGAAAAAACAAAACAATAAGTGGAAATGCTGATTAAGCATTTCCACTTATTGTTATTCTCCTATTTCTTTATTATTATTATTATCATTATTATTATTATTATTATTATTATTATTATTATTATTATATATATTATATATTATATTATTATATATATTATTGTTATTCTCCTATTTCTTTATTATTAAGTGGAAATACTGATTAAGCATTTCCACTTATTGTTATTCTCCTATTTCTTTATTATTATTAAGTGGAAATGCTGATTAAGCATTTCCACTTATTGTTATTCTCCTATTTCTTTATTATTAATATTGTTATTCCGTACCTTTTTTGCAACTTTTCAACTCCTTTATACTTTGTGCTATTTCAACCGTTCAACTTTTAAACTATTCCTCTCTTCCAGGACAAGTGCGGATGCTTTTTTCACTTTTCTACCCCTTATACTTTTTGATATTTTTTACTTTTTCTGCAACATTTTTCCAGTTGAAGTGAATGGGGAAATCTTCCAATTCTTCCTTTTATTCTTCCACCTTCTGAGCCTTATAACTTCAGCATACTTTCACCTAGAGACCTCATTTTTGCTTTAAAATGTTCATTGTCTTGTCTACAATTAAAGTTGTATTCACTTTGTTGTGATATCTTTTACAGTTTTTCCACAATTTAGCTTTAAGCACCTCATGGTTTTCAGCAAATTTCAGGCTTTATAATTGGTGTATATTGGAAGAGCTACAGTGGGTGATGTCATAGCTAGAGTGGAGAGCTCTTCTTTTATCAACAAAACCTCACTCTGATATATCGCTCCCACACCCACAAACTTCACTCCACAGCCATAAAAAATACATCAAAATGGAGGAAAATAAGTCCTGCTTCTCACAAAGGAGGTTTCAAATTATTAAATCATACCCCTTGGCCAGCAGGTGACCAACTGTCTAAAAAGGCAGAGATTCCTCCCATTGACCCTAATGTAATCTTTCTCCCAGAAAATCCTGATCATTACTCAGGGTCAGACCTGTTTAACTCGCTCTTGTGGCCACATTTTCTAGAGTACAGACATGAAAAACACATCATTGTGTTCATGAAGGGCGGAGGATTCGTACAATGTTCTTATTTTCATTCTGGGATTTAAGAAAAACATGTTATGTGAAGAAGTTCAGAGGCCCTAAATTCACTGCAGTTAGGCAGCCTCTTATTCAAAACGTTGGTCAGTTGGTCCTTTGATCTGTTTAGGATGCATTGATAAACAGACACACACACACACACACACACACACACACACACACACACACACACACACACACACACACACACACACACACTGACAATGTGTGTGCATTAATCATTAAGGGATCAATTATGGGATGTAATCAGGATTTTGTTCATTAATTGTATCAACGTGTTCAGCAGAATCTTGCAGGTCCGTATAAGCTCCTTATTATGAATATAGCAGTTACAGAAGAAAAGCATTAGGACTTAGTTGGAGAGCTGTTTTCTCAGCTTCAAGCCTCCTTTCTCCTTCTGTAGTGATGCTTCTACCTTCCCCATGGCAACCGATTAGAGCACCTGGAGACACACAGCTAAATGGAAAGCTGCTTCTAACGGCCATATGAGACACATGAAGCCAGGCTCAGTACACAGAGCACTGGGGATAACATTTAATACCCTTCACTGAAGCACTTGACAAACTGCAGCCCCTCTCTCCTCCCACAAACTTCGAGCTACAGAAACCATTCAGGGCTTTAAAATTTCAGCTCATTGAGGACATGATGGGGTGTTTTCAGGATTTTTATTCATTTAAATTTTCCCCATTTTAAAATCACTCAGTTGTAATGCATTGTTCAATTCTTCAAACAAATTAAACCTCATTCAAACTGACTCAAACCTTTCTGATACTTCAAAACTTTCTAATACTTGAGGATTTTCAATTATTTAAAGTTTCCCTGTTTTAAATTAGTTTGAATATTCATGCATTGTTCTATCCTTCAAACAAACTCCCACTTCTTCTACTACAACTACTGCTAATATCAATTAAACTAGTACTTTGACTTCTACTTCAACTACTATTGCTACTATTTCTACTTTCTCTACTTCTTCTACTACCTCTACTACGAGCTCAACTACTTCAACTGCTTCTTCTATTCTCAAACTACTTCTACTGCTTACATGACTACTAATATCATTACTATGACTACTTATCATCCTACTACTGGAACTACAATTTAAACTTATGGCACTTCTCACTTACCTGCCTTTTAAGGTAATTTCCTTCTTCATTCAAACTTTGTGCAATTTTAGAAAATTTTCCAGCCTCTTTCAGCATGAATCAAATTTCGATTTATGGAGCATATTCATACTATTTGTCCTCCAGCCATTTTCACAATTATTTAACTTCTATTTTTCTTTACTCCTTCAACAGCTTTTACATTTATACTGTTCTCCATTTTTAATTAACAGTTTAGCATTGCTTTTTAAGCTTTCAGCACTCCATGCATTTTCTGCAAGGAAATGCAATATTTCTATTTTTTTTTATTATTATAGACGCACATTCTGCTATTAATGCAGCCCGAACGGTAAGGTGCATCCAGGCATGGCATATATCAAAACGTGCGTCTTCATTGTGCAACGGTGGGTATTACTTTTCTCTATCAGTTGACCAGTACAGTTTGACCACAGTAACTTTTTAAATGAGGGGTGCAAACGAGAATTTTCCTTTTTTTTAGACTGATGACTTATCATTTTAGGGTGAAGAGAAACGAACGTGTTATCCCAATTTTTAATTTCTAAATCACTGCCACGGCTACAATTTTCACTCGACACACACATATCATACATCAAAACATAGGAAATCTACAAGCCGGACAGAAAATGTGGACCTTGAAGCCGTGAGATGCTCACTTTTCAAGCTACGAGGTTTTGTTCAGGAGGAGGTACATGTTTCATCTCCATCCCCCGCCATTCAAAAAGAACACAAATGCTCCACATCCGATTGTTGCTCATTTTCTCCAAACAACTCGCTCTCCCGTCTGTAAAGCGTAGCGACTTGTCCTTCTGATATGTCATAGTAGGATTCGAGCAGTTGCTCATGGTTCAGAGTTTTTTCTGATACAACATGTGGTTAGTCAGTAACAAGCCTTTTGTGGGCACTAGTGAGATATCGAGATTCCTATTCAAAGTGAATGGAGCTGCTGCAAACACGGGGTGGTCTCCATATTTGAAGCTTGTTTGTGATATCATACTTTAAAGTAGAAATGTAATTTGAACTCTGACCGTTAGATGAGACCCTTACCCTTCAACCTGCGAAAACCACATTTCAATATCTCTTACGGTTTTCCTACAAAGTGAGTTTGTTTTGGCCAGTCCTGTTCTAAGCAGGCAGAGGCTCAGTGAGGCTGTGTCACAGGTGAGCTGCAGGTGCACTGTCACCATGGAGCAGTTTCCACTCAAAGTACAGGGCCCGCCCACCTGGTCTTGATTGACTCCAGACACCACAACACAGAGACAGCCGGATTGCCTTTAGTTTCAGGTCAGATTCCTGACAAAGGCCCTAAATCATCAAGGCTTTGACATATCACCCAGCCTTTTCTCTCTGTTTTGAGCAACTTTTTAACCCATTTTAACTGGTTTTAAACAACTTTTAAGGCTGCATTTTAAGAGTTTGCTGACTTTTAAGTTGAACTTTTATCATTTATGAGTTTTCATTTTATTTTATTTTATCTGTTGTAGCAGAGAGCAGGAGTGAAAGTTGCCACAAGCTGACACTTTTATCTGGTTTTAAAAGGTTCTGATCGCTTTTAAAAACTTTGTGCCCTGAGCAAAGGATTACTTTGATCTTTTTTGCTTTTACTGGACAAAAGGTTTTAGTCATCAGACTCTGGAAATTTTTACACTCTGGCTGAGTCAACTACAAGGCAACCATGGAGGCTACCGCCATAGATGCTTCCTTACCTGCAGAAGTTGGTGAACAACTCAAAAGAGCCCAGAAAAAGATTGCTGATCTCCATGAGGACATTGGTCGGCTCTCAGACGAGCTGCTGAGGAAGGACTCACTCCTGGCCACCTTCAAATCTCGGCTCCCGGCGTTGTCCAGCTGGTTGGAGAGCACACTGACCGGTGAGCTGCCACAGCATAGCACTGCTGCTGCACTGAGGGAGGCACAAAGGGACCCCTGGTCCGGGGTCGCGGTCCACAGTCAGAAGAAGGCTCCTGGTGGGACTCCGTGCGGGGTTTCCTCCTCCGTCTCCATCCCCCTCTCCAACAAATATTTGGCTTTATCCATGAGTGCGGAGCCACTGGTCAAGGGCCCTGCTGATCCCGAGGCCTTCCCGAAGGATGTTGCACCACCCCTGTCAGACAACACAGCCTTCCCTCCACTCGTGGCTGCCTGTGCCCCAGCGGATCAACATCCAGCACAGTGCCATCCAGCACAGTGCCGTCCAGCACCGTGCCACTCGCCTCCGTCCCTCAACCAAGCGGAAGCGGAAGCGGCTCCTCAAGGACGTTGTGTGATGGCACGTCCTCATCAGGCGCCTGACAGAAAGGACAGGTCCACCGAGCAAGCCACCCCCCTCAGGCAACAGGCCACGACACTAGTCATCGGGGACTCCATCATCCGGAACGTCCATCTGAGGGGAGCGTTCACCCTGTCCTTTCCCGGCACCACTGTTGCAGACGTAACTGAGAAAATCCTAAGCGTCCTGAATTCTCATCCACAGATAAACAGGGTCGTCATACATGTGGGCACCAATGACACCTACAGGCAACAGTCCGAGCTTTTAAAGCGTGATTTCACGCAGCTTTTTAACAAACTCTCACAGCCCCAGCTGCGCGTTTTTATCTCCGGCCCCACTCCAACCTGTGGCAGAGGCATTGGGCACTTCAACAGGCTGCTCAGCCTGAACACCTGGCTCTCATCAGCCTGCAGTACCTACAATGTCTGTTTTGTTAATAACCTTGATGTTTTTTGGGAGAGGAGACATCTTTTTGGATCGGATGGTCTTCATCTTAATAGAGCTGGTATCCACATGCTGGCGCCAACCTGACATACGGTGTACAACATGCTCAACTCTTACTTTCCTCCTATCACCCCAAATGTACACCGACTGACCTTTCCACCACTGATTGATGTCCCCCAGGTCCCAGTTCCTATGATTTTAATTCCACTTCTGACACACACAATACTGTACTTGGACTCTCTGTTTTCATTAACCATTCACCCATTCCTGTTATCATCACACAGCGAGAAAAAAAAAGACTCTATCATGTTCACTCTGTAAACTTCAATCACCACAGACCTCTTCCCAAATAATAACAGTCCAACCATACAATCTGTGAATCATCGGCCACCATCAATATGGCACTTTTAAATATTTGCTCTCTTTTAAACGAATCTTTTATTGTCCATGACCTGATTTTAGACAACAAGATTGATTGTCTGTTTTTAACTGAAACGTGGCTGGGTACAGACGCGCCAGTTATTCTCACTGAGGCCTCGCCACCTAATTTTAACTTTACGTTCTCTCTTAGAAGTGGCAGGAAAGGTGGTGGTACTGCATCAATAATCAATAACACACTCAAGACCAAAGAAATATCATTTGATCAGTACACCACCTTTGAACATCATGCGGTTGTTTTTAACAGTCCCTCAATTCTTGGTATAACTGTTTACAGACCACCAAAACATGATGCTGCTTTTATCAGTGAATTTTCTGAATTTTTAGCAATAATCCATGCCACTTACAATTTTATTATTATAACTGGTGATTTTAATTTGCACATCGACAATCAATCTAACTCCATGGCAAAAGAGTTTCTAAACTTACTGAGTTGCTTAGATTTTAAACAACATGTTACACAGCCGACTCACAACGGAGGACACACTTTGGATCTTGTCCTCAGCTATGGCCTGTCAGCCAGTGTGTCTTCTGTTGTGGACCTAGCTGTGTCGAACCATTATTGTGTTTTTTAATATCACCAGTTTTACCTGCATTCTGTGATTTTATTGTTCAACACTTTAGTTCAACAGGAAAAATAAAATCACAATTAATCTCCAAATGTACTCTGAGCAACTGAAAATCTACAATAATGCTCTCAGACATGCCAGATCCACCTATTTCACGAACATAATCACAAGTCATAAAAACAACCCTTAAATCCTCTTTGCTACAATTGATCTTTTAATCAACTCAGTTTTTAACAGATATCGAATCACTCTTTCAGACACACTTTGTGAAGGTTTTGCAGACCACTTCAGGGGTACAATTGATTCTAAGCGATTCTCTATTTTATCTGTTCAAAACACTGTTTCTAGACCAGTGGAAAGCTTGTTTTTACCTGAGGAAACACTGGACAGTTTTGCCCTGGTTGATGCTGAGATGCTTGGTAGAGTTTTCTCCCAAGTAAAACCAACAACCTGCCTTTTAGATCCAACTCCCACATCACTGTTCGAAATGTTTTATGGATTCTTTGAAGGTGAGCTTTTAAATATAGTAAATTGCGCTCTCTTTAGATGGGCTCTTTCCCTGCTGCCCTTAAAACGGCAGTCATGAGACCCCTTCTGAAGAAAAACAATTTGGATCCCAATGTTCTTAATAACTACAGACCAGTGTCCAACTTACCATTTTCAAGCAAAACTTGTTTTTATTCCATTGAATGATTTTTTAAGTAACCATTCTATCCTGGAGAAATTTCAATCTGGATTTAGGACAAACCACAGTACAGAGACTGCGCTACTGAAAATTGTTAATGATCTTAGGTGCAACTCGGACTCATACAAGCTTACAGTCCTTGTGCTACTGGATCAGTAGCACAAGGGGGCAGGCACATATTACACCGGTTTTAAAATCATTGCATTGGCTCCCTGTGTGCTTTAGGATCAATTTTATGGTTCTTTTAATGGTTTTTAAATGTCTTAGGGGTCGTGGACCTTCTTATCTTTCAGAATTGCTTTTACAGTATGAACCCTTGCAGACCCTGAGATCCTCTGGCACTGGCCTTTTAATAGTACCCAAAAGAAGAACACGAACTCACAGGTATCTTTCCAGTGCTGTGGCCCCCGTCTTTGGAATAGCCTGCCAGAAGACCTGAGGGCTGCAGAGAATGTTCATGTTTTTAAAAGCAGGCTCAAGACCCACATATTTAATTTGGCTTTTAACTAATGTCTTATATTTAATCTATATTTTTATCCTATTTTTATCTTATTTTATTTCATTTATATATTTTAGTCCTCATTTTACATGTTATGTTTATTGTATTTATTCACTTATTTTTTAATTATATTTTAGCTATTTGTCAGTATTTTATCATTTTATCTAGTTTGATGTTTTTAGCCAATGTAGTTTATGTTTTTATCCGTTTCTCCAGTGTTTCCTCAGTGGAGGCCACCTGCACTGGGGGCTGTGACTGGGGTGGGGTCTCGGTGGGGGTGGGGGGAAGGATATGGGCATTTCTTTTGTATAAAAAGTGCTATATAAATAAAGCCTGATTTGATTTGATATCAGCACCATATTTGACACGTCCCCTCGTGACCCCACTCTGAAGACATGTCCCACCGGCAGCCATCTTGGATGTCCCCACCATCCCCAAACAAGAAGTAGCCCTTAACGCATTAATGCCCTCATGTATCTCCACCAAAAACATGACCTAAATGTGAGTAAATCAGTGGCAAGCAGCAGCAAATTGGCAAGCGGGCAGGCACGTATCAAAATTTCCCTGGAATTTTCTGGTTATTATTATTATCAAAACTCCAAGGAAAAGTCTGAGGAGCTGGACACACACCTCCACATCCCTAACTTAAAACCCTGCCCAACCATTTACTGCTAAAAACAGCATTCCTTTAGCGAAAGGATACAAATGACTTACAATGGCGTCTGATGTATTCAGTAATGCAGTAATCTACGAATTTGTCTGATCATGAAACTTGTGTTAAAATGAAATGTGCTATATATTTCATTGTGCTCCATAAGCTGAGATCTCACTCTGACAGAATAAATCCTTCAGTCTTTAGTTTCTATAGACCGACAGCTTTCAGGCTATTTCATGAACTTTTAAGAGATAAAATTATTGAGTATAAATCATAACCTCATTTTAAGTAACAGGAACAGTTTAGAAATGTTTAGCTTAGGTTCTAATCATTTGTTTAGCATTTTAATGATTAGGTTGTTATAATGTCATTGAATAATCAAAATGCAACTATATAGAATCCATTATCAATCACAATGTTTTTTTTTTTTTTTTTTTTTTTTTTTTATTCCACAATGAGTCAGAAGATTCATCTTTATCATTTTATCTAGTGTTGATGTTTTGTAGCCAATGTTCTATGTATTACTTTCTGTTTAATTTCAGAAAAATCTAGCAGTGTCAGTGAAAAGAAGAGGTTACTGGGTGTTTGATGTGTGTCCTCTTTTCTCTGAGGATTTCTGTCTGTGGGAAACTGCTGGGGTCTTGTGGTGTGATCAAAACTCTCAGATACTCCCTCTGTCCTTCAAAGGAGAGCCAGCTCACTTTGTGTATTGATGGAAATGCTAAGATACCAGGATTTTAGGCAACTCATTGATGGAATCAGCAAGAAAGGGGTGCAAGGTTCTCTGCTGCAGAAGACAAATAGAGAATGCCAACTCACAGCAATAAAGCTTGAAGTGCCACATCATGTCCAATACCTTTCAGGACTAGTTCACATCTTATCCTTAATAAGGCAATTTCTTCGGACTTTAAATACACAACTTCTTTGTGATTTTGGGGGGATCCTTTGAGGGTTAGAGGCCTTGGGTACCACTTTCAGAGGAAGTCAAACTGTGTGAGATCCTGGTGCATCCCATTGTATGCTTATGAAGGCTGTCAATTTAATTTTTAATTTCATTCCCTAGTTTGTTTTTAATCCCTCTGTGTCATCCAAATGATTAAGCATCCTGACTCAATTATAATTTGCATCCTTAATCACAATACCCCTCCCAAGTCTGACTCTAATTTATGCCACATGTTCAAGTCTGATCTTCACTACCTTTGGTAATTCAATTAGACAGGACAGGAAATGACTATTGCCACGCTAGGATTTTTGTTACATTGTAATTCGGTGTTGGTTTGAAGCTGCAATCAGGCAAACCCACTGTAGAACAGTTCTTAGCATATGCAGGTTCTATTTTCATTACATGAAACTCATTTCATCTGAGCTTGTGATTGCTTGATTTGCAGACACGCATTAATCTAATTGTACAGTTGTTTTATAAGCTCTTTAAGTTTTTGTGACTGCTGTTTAAATAACTGGGAGTGGATCAAAGGTAAAAAGAAACAGGGTATACATCAATAACAGACAGGCAAAGCTGCAGCATACTAATTTTTATGTGCCACATAAGAGAAGTGCAAGAGCCCACAATGACAGCCCTCCCACAGATGATGAACCTGCCCCTTTTCCAGTCACCCTTTACAGCTTGGATAACAAACTGGACTAATATAAGAACTCTGAAGTTGTCTACAAGAGGGGCCTTAGCCATCTCTACTTCCTCAGGAGGCTGAGGTCCTTTTACATCTAAAGGACCATACTGAGGGTGTCCTATGAGTCTGTGGTGGCCAGTGTGATCCTATTTGCCACTGTGTGCTCGGGAAGCAGACTGAGGGTAGCAGATGTCGCCAACAGACTTGACAAACTCATCCACAAGGTGAGTGACATTGTAGGGTAGAGCTGGATTCTTTGATGGTGGTGACAGAGAGGAGGATGTTTTTAAAGCTACATGTAATCTTGGACAGCATCCACCACCGGCTCCTTAACGTGCTGGTTAAACACAGGAGCACATCCAGTACTCATTTGTCCTAAATGTACCACAGAATGTCACAGGAAGTCATTCTTGCCTGTGACAATCAAACTTTATAACTCCTTCCTCTAAATTTCACACACTGACTGTCCCTGGACTTATCCTCAAGCTGTGAACCCTCCGTTGCTTATAATTACATTTAACTGTGTATTCTGTTTGAAAAGAGGTCAAACTTTAATAATCTAAGAGTGCAATACTGATAACATTTTAAATTAAAGGCAGGGTAGGCAGTGTTGTTTAGAGACACTTTTTGTCATAGTGGATGAAATGGTCCTTCCACCCTGAGAGTAGTTAATTCATTATGGGTTCAGAAAGAGAAATGAAAAGAATCCAAGATCTGTGGCAGCTGCAGGACTGTAAGAAACTGGATCGATCATTTTGTTCAGTCCAGATGTAAAGAACCAATCAGATGCCTTTAAGTCTCGCCCTGCACCACCACACTCCCCTCTGCCCCCAACCCCACCCATGGGCACACGCATCATTTCGTTGTTGCCGCAAATAGCAAGCATGCTCCTCTGCCTGAATACCTTGTTAGCTGGAGGATATGTGACCAAAAAATAAATAACTCAGTACAACAGATATTTTAGACAGAGTAATATTTTCATACCACACTCTCCTCTTCATTCAAGGTACCGCAAGCTGTATAATATAAAGTCCAGAGCAAGGAGTTTGAACACCATAAAGGTCCTACACGATGTACACCTGAGCAAGAGGACTTATTGTTTGGATATCATTTTTCCAAAAAATTTTTGCTTTATTTTATCTTCTGTGGTCTTTTGTCTCACCCTGTAGAGAAAGCCACTTTCTAATACTAGTTCTGTAAGTTTCCCAACGTGTCCCTTGTAAAGTCAAGAACGTCATCACTCTGGACAGATGATAGATGCATATAGCATCGTTTCGTTCCTTTTTTAAGCACTTTTGAAGGCTGATTTTTTTTTCTCCTGTTCCTTTCTTCCTCTTCGCTTGTCTCGCTGCTAGATGCGCTCGTCGCCATGTTTGTGTATTTCTGATACTATGGCAACGAGACTCGGCTCCTATTGGTCCACGTGACAAAAATCGCTTCACCCCTCTGCATATTCGATTGCGCGTGTGCAAGTATCACTGCACTGCAGAAAGGAAATAGTTCGACACTGAAACACTGATTACTAAAAATCGACTGGATGGCATCAGTAGGTATTTTCTTTTTTTAGTACTTACTATCAATAGAGCTATTTTATGAATCACAGTTTATGTTGCCCCACTGAAGTGGAATGAACCAATACGATCTCGATCAGCCTATACAGTCTATTGTGGGCAGGGCTTGCTGGAGCAGTGAAAGAGGGGGAGCTGAGGGGAAAACTGATGGGGAGGGGTAGTCTTTACTTTCAAAATTTCTCCCAAAAACTGGCTCTTCTGAGATCCTGCCAACCCCAGCTTTAAGCTAAACTGTGATATATTCTGTTTAATTTTGCAGTACTCTGTGCACTACAAACTGGTTTTGCGTATACTCCTATGCTTGTCCATAGCGTATTTCTTAAACGCTCATTTGTAGTAAGTAAGCTTTGTAAATAGCTTACCATGGCAATTTCATAATTATTCTTATTAATTCCCATTTCGGTTTTCGTATTAGCCATAAATATTTGTAATTTTAAGAGCAAGTATTAGGCTGTAACGATGTGACAAATAACGTATTCTGACTGATTCTGATTGTTAAATTTAAAGTGTGAAAATCGGGATTTCAAATTTTAAGAGATATTTGGAACACTTTTACAGTGAGTCCAAGAAGTATTTGATCCCTTGCTGATTTTCTTCGTTTGCCCACTAATAAAGATGTGATCATTCTGCACATTTAATGGTAGATGCATTCTAACATGGAGAGACAGAATATCAAAAAGAAAATCCTGAAAAAAATCTAAGGAATATATATTAATTGATTTGTATTTCATTGAGGGAAATAAGTATTTGATCCCTCAGTATGCATTAGGAGTTCTGCCTTTCACAGACCAGTTAGACACTCCCAATCAGCTTGTTACCTGAACTGAAGCCACCTGTTCTCACTAATCACTTGTGTGAAAAACACCTGTTCACAGAATCAGACAATCTGACAGATTTCAAGTCTCCAACATGGGTAAGACCAAAGAGCTGTCTCAGGACCTCAGAGTCAGGATTGTTGACCTCCACAAAGCTGGAATGGGCTACAAAAAGATTAGCAAGGTGTTGGATATGAAAGTAACAACTATTGGTGCGATTGTTAGAAAATTTAAAGAGTATAACATGACCATCAACAGACCTCGGCCCGGTGCTCCAAAGAAGATTTCACCTCGTGGGGTGACAATGCTCCTGAGAACGGTCAGAAATCATCCTGCAACCACTCGTCAGGAGTTGGTAAATGACCTGAAGGCAGCTGGGACCACAGTTTGCAAGGAAACAATTGGCAACACTTTGCGCAACAATGGATTAACATCCTGCAGTGCCCGAAAGGTACCCCTGCTCAAGAAGGCACATGTGGAGGCACGCCTTAAGTATGCCAATGATCACCTGAAAGATGAACCAAGTTATTGGGAGAAGGTTCTGTGGTCAGACGAGACCAAAATTGAACTTTTTGGCCTCAACTCTACCCCCATGTGTGGAGGAAGAAAAATGCTGCCTATGACCCCAAGAACACTGTGCCCACCGTCAAGCATGGAGGTGGAAGCATAATGTTTTGGGGGTGTTTCTCTGCCAAGGGTACAGGGCTACTTCACCGCGTCACTGGGAAGATGGATGGAGCCATGTACCGTACAATCCTGAGGGACAACCTCCTCCCCTCTGCCAGGAAGCTGAAAATGGGCCGTGGTTGGGTCTTCCAACATGATAACGACCCGAAACACACAGCAAAGGCAACAAAGGATTGGCTCAAGAAAAATCACATGAAGGTCATGGAGTGGCCCAGCCAGTCTCCGGACCTCAATCTGATTGAGAATCTATGGAGGGAGCTGAAGGTCAGAGTTGCCAAGCGACAGCCCACCGACCTTCCTGATTTAGAGAGGATCTGCAAAGAAGAGTGGGCCAAAATTCCCCCTGGTGTGTGTGCTAAACTTGTGGTTAACTACAACAAACGTCTCACTGCTGTGCTTGCTAACAAAGGCTTTGCCACTAAGTATTGAGTGTGTTTGGCTAGAGGGATCAAATACTTATTTCCCTCAATGAAATACAAATTAATTAAAATATATTCTTTAAAGTTATATTCTGGATTTTTGTCTTGATATTCTGTCTCTCCATGTTAGAATACATCTACCATTAAACGTGCAGAATGATCACATCTTTATTAGTGGGCAAACGAAGAAAATCAGCAAGGGATCAAATACTTCTTGGACTCACTGTAAGTAGAAGAAGATACAGACAAAGATAAAGGAAGAAAAAATATATATACTGTACTATATATAGATGGAGAGAGAGAGAGAGAGAGAGAGAGAGAGAGAGAGAGAGAGGAAAAGATAAAGGTGAATCGGTGAATTGGAAAAGAGAATGAGAATGAAGCAAGAGTCAGGGTGGTGTGGGGGCCAATCTGGAAATAGAACCAGCCTTGACAAAATAAAAAAAGTCCCGTCATCACTGCAGCAGCAGAGCGGTACAGTCTGCAAATTCCCTTACAGATATTATAAGGAGTGGAAATCCTTTGATGCACCCTCACAGTTCTGGTCAGAGCATTACTTTACTCTCTAAGACCTTTTTGAGGACAGTTAACAATGAACAGCAGCCAAACAGCAGATCATACAAAGTGAATATGGAATTAAAGAAACTGTTTGAGAATAAATGGTGCCTTCGAGTTTCCTCAGAAGTCGGATGTCGGAGCTGGGAATGATGTCACACCTGAGTTACCATCATTTCAGTTGCCAAGTTGGAAAAAAGCAAAATCTGAGGCAGAACCAAAGTTATTTCAGTGCTTGCCTTGTCCAAATATAAGCAGCTTCTAGACAAATATGCAGTCCTTCTGCAACATGCAAACACGGTGGATGAAGAGGGAACACAAAGGTGCAGTAAGTAGACATTTTTTTCTTTCAAGTATTTGATTGTTTGAAAAAGGTATCTATTGCTGTTTGATCAGTCATCAGTTAATAACGGGCTAGTGCTCTTAACAACTGCATTTGTCAATTATAAGTTGATTTAAATCGATTTTTCTTAATACAATATCAGCAGTTGTTTGAAAAATAGGGTATGTAGGCTATTTGATTTACAAAACCAAATTCCACTGAAGTTGGGAAATTGTGATGAATGTAAATAAAAACAGAATACAAGGATTCGCAAATCCTTTTCAACCTATATTCAATTGAATACACTACAAAGACAAGATATTTAATTTTCAAACTTATGAACTTTTTTTTTTTTTTGCAAATAATTAAGAATTTCATGTCTGCAACACGTACCAAAGTAGTTGAAACAGGGGCATGTTTGCCACTGTGTTACATCACCTTTCCTTTTAACAACACTCAATAAATGTTTGGGAACTGAGGAGACTAGTTGTTGAAGCTTCGAAGGTAGAATTCTTTCCCATTCTTGCTTGATGTACAGCTTCAGTTGTTCAACAGTCCAGGGTCTCCGTTGTCGTATTTTACGCTTCATATTGCGCCACACATTTTCAATGGGAGAAAATTGAAAATGTGTGGCGCACTCTTTTACAAGTCATGCTGTTGTAACACATGCAGAATGTGGCTTGGCATTGTCTTGCTGAAATAAGCAGGGGCTTCCATGAAAAAGACGTTGCTTGGATGGCAGCATATGTTGCCAAAACCTGTATGTACCTTCCAGCATTAATGTTGCCTTCACAGATGTGTAAGTTACCCATGCCTTGGGCACTAATGCACCCCCATACCATCACAGATGCTGGCTTTTGAACTTTGCATCGATGACAGTCCGGATGATTCTTTTCCTCTTTGGCCCCGAGGACACGACATCCACTATTTCCAAAAACAATTTGAAATGTGGAATCTTCAGACCACAGAACATTTTTCCACTTTGCATCAGTCCAACTTAGATGAGCTCAGACCTAGAGAAGCCGGCGGTGTTTCTGGATGTTGTTGATAAATGGCTTTTGCTTTGCATAGTAGAGTTTTAACTTGCACTTACAGATGTAGCGACGAACTGTATTTACTGACAGTGGTTTTCTGAAGTGTTCCTGAGCCCATGTGGTGATATCCTTTACACGTTGGTTTTTGATAAAGTCCCGCCTGAGGGATCAAAGGTCACGGGCATTCAATGTTGGTATCCGGCCGTGCTGCTTACGTGCAGTGATTTCTCCATATTCTCTCAACCTTTTGATGATATTATGGACCATAGATGTTGAAATCCCTAAATGCATTGCAACTGTACTTTGAGAAACGTTGTTCTTAAACTGTTTGACTATTTGCTCACACAGTTGTTCACAAAGTAGTGAACCTCGTCCCATCCTTGCTTGTGAATTAACGAGAATTTTTAGGGAAGCTGCTTGTATACCAAATCATGGCGCCCACCTATTCCCAATTAGCCTGCTCACCTGTAAGATGTTCTAAATAGGTGTTTGATGAGCATTCCTCAAATTCTCAGTATTTTTTATCAGTGTATCAGTGTACATTGACATCGGTACTTGGAAGGGCAGAAAACTGGTGAATGTGACTCAGCTGGCAAACAATCTTGGCTCTGAATACTGCGAGACCTTACTTGGGTACTATGTCTTCAGTGGTGAAGATTGCACCAGTGCCTTCAAAGGCAAGGGTAAAGTTGGACCCCTGAAGAAGCTGCAGAAGAACCCCAAGTACCAGGCTGCATTCAGGTGACATGGCTCTCTTTCATAATTTCACTTCCTTGACTCGAATGACACTTGAAAGTAAACAGTGTTTTCCTATTTCAGGGAACTTGGTGTGGAATGGTGCCTCTCAAGCAGCTGCAAGGAGGACCTGGAACATTTCACATGCCTCATGTATGGTCATGGTCGGGAGAAGAAAGTAGATGCAGTGCGTGTAAAGGTGATTCGCGAGATGGTCAGAGACGATGAGTCCCTCTCGGCCAAGTCTAAGGTGGACCTTGGACGTCTCCCACCACCACAGTGGTCTTGATCGCTGCAACCACAGAGTGGCATGTTATAAGCGAGCAGCTGCACATATTTTTGAGCGACCAAAACCACATGACCCAGATCAGGTAAAAATGGTTCAATTTGGATTTTCATGTATAACAAGAACATCCATGGTATAAATAACACTTTGACATTCACCAGGGATGGGAAACAAATGAGGAGGGAGCACTTGAGCCTATATGGACTGCTGGACCCATCATGCCCTCATCTCTGGTTGACATACTTGCAATGGAGGCTGAGAGCGAAGAAGAGGAAGAAGAGCAAGATGAGACCATTGAAGATGACATGAATAATGATGAAGAGGACTATTAAAATTAAACCGACTCTAGATTTTGCTTTCAAACATGGTTACTGTTCCAGAAATCAATTATCACGACACATATTGTGCATAAAACCATTAATATTAATTTCAATGTGCAATATGTAACTTGTAGAAAATGTACACATGTACACTACTATGGGGACTATTAAAGATCACAAATAAATGGCTTATTTCAGCTGTCAAGACATACTAATTTACCTTATTCCATTACTGTTTAAGAACTCTCTGTGTGCATACATTGGCAAATACCTTTTTTTGCAATAGGCGGAAATTACACATTTGTACAGCATGCAAAGAAATTAATGGTTCTTGCCCAAAACTGCATGTGGCATGTATGTAAAGGGGAGGTTTGTGGGAACACATTTAACCCATTTCCACTAACATATATTGAGGTGACAAGTCAAGGGACTATTTGGAATATGGTGATGGTCGTTTTTCCTTTGCAAAAAAGTTGTTTAACTTTGAATCATTAGGTATTTATCCCCCTTCCCAATGAGCTAACATGGCATGGGTGGTCCCATTGGAAAGCTGTGGTTGTCCAGAATACAATGGTATCTTTACTTTTTGTCTACCTCAAAATTTGACCATGCCAAACTCTCGGAAAGACAGTGTCGTCAGTGATCCTGCCAGCAAAAACGTTTGTGTCATAGGGGTAACAAAACATTAAAAAAACACACCTTTGAGAAATAAAACTTTCTTGGGAACATCAAAATCCTTTTTTTAGAGGCACTATCAGGGTTAACCAGGTTAGCCACAGTGGTACAGTCCCTGTCGATGTAGTACATCATAAGATCATGCATTTTCTGAAACAGAGGTCCATGAAAAGGTGTCCTCCTGTCTGGGTCCACGAATAGAATAGTGTTGTTGTCCAAATACACTGGGGGAAAAAAAGAAAAAAAAAGGTTTACATCATAGCCATTTCCCTCATAAATTTTTTACATGAAAATTATTTTGTAACAAAACATTTTTTGTTACATCCAGAGTAGAGATGCACACGATTACAATGAAAAACAAAATTCTGCATGTCTTTCACCTGTCAGGATGGTGCAGAAAAAAACAAACAAATAGGAAAAAAAAAGGATGCACTGCGCTCGCTTCCCAGCTGGCTAACTCGTAAATCACCTTCAGCTGACTGGGCTCAGCTGTCAGAGTAGCTATACTGTGCCTCTCTCTTTAGCCAGGTGTCTGGCTGTACGCTACTTTGAATAAAAGTACAACTAATGTTCAACTTACCTCTTTAACTGGTAAGTGTTTCAACCGTTGGTTAAAGAAAACATGTAGAAAATCAGTAATTTGTTCCGCCATAATCCAGAGGTCACTCACTAAATCGTAGGATACTATTTATAATCCTTCTCCACATAAACAGGTCACTGAGAAAATATAAACAAAAAAACACCAGCTGAAACTACCAGGCTATGGTTAGCCATTGTTAGCCACTGTTAGCAAGGCCGGCTTTGTAGTTCTTATTTACACATGAAAAATGTACATTACACTATGACAGCTTTTCAATTTATGTACATCTAATAATACTTTTGTAGCCCGAGCCTCAGGCCGACTTATTGCAACAATAAATAGTGAAAAGTGTTAATAAAAGGATTATAACATGAGCTTGAACTTACAGTTACTTACAGCGCTGCCATCTTTAAACATCATCTTGGGGGCTTTGTTGCTCATCCAACTTTCCGAGTCGGAAATCCAACCTCGACGTCCATTCCAGTTGAAAGTTCTGAGTCAGACCTTGTAAATTCCTACCTCCAAGAACAACTGGAATGCACCGTAATATACTGTATATCATACTTCAGATTCCAGAACCTTCATTCTACTTAAGAGCAGCACAGTTGCTCTGAATTTTCTGCATATTTGCTCTGTTTTATCATATTTTTGTTGTGTTTTGTCTGCTGCTGGTGGATATTACTGCTAGGAAAATAGATTACTCAAGAGAAGAGCTCCTTTCATTGAGACAGAAAAAATGACAACAAGGTATGTCCTAGAGGACATCTGGAGGTGTTTTTTTTCCTGCAAAGGTGCAAAGGTAAAGGCAAGGTTGAATGGGAAATGTCAACTCTGCTGGATATATTGGTAAAGGCTGAGATAGATTGGACAGAGATGCTCAAGCTAGTGGCAAGAAAAAAGGAGGAGGTCTTGCTCTATTTTTTAACTGTTGATGGTGTAACCCTTCACACATTACTATCAAGGAGAAGTTGTGTTGTCCAGATATTAAACTGTTGGCAGTAGCTCTTTGGCCATATTATGTTCCAAGAGAGTTTAGTCATATCATAACAATACCTGTATACATGTTTCACCTGTGATACTGTTGCTAAGATACAGATGCAACATCCTTAGGCACTTGAAATAATACTAGACTTCATCCATGTCACCCTCTCCTCTCACCTGATTGGATTTACACAGTTTGTTAACTGTCCTACCAGAGAAAATCCTTCATGAGATTCCAGACAAATTAATTTCCTTTTTAGGATAAAAAAAGTTATTGTATTGAATTCTAGGAAAAGAAGCTTAGGTAAATGGCAGCATATTCCTTGTGTTAAGTTATTTAGACTCACAGATGCCTAGTGAATGCTCATTATCAGTGTCTTGGTCTTTTCTCTTGTAAAACTAAGCTTGCTGTTTAAAAGCAAAACACCAAAGAAATTTAAGTTTTAAGTACTTTAAGCCCAAAGTGTTAAGTAATACTGACTCATGCTAACCTCTTTGACATTTAATTTTGAAGCTTATCTAGGCTGATCACCCCCTTGCTCTCTCTCTTTTAAGGCACAAATACTAACAAAAAAGTTCACTTATACTGGTTATTCAGAAATGTAAGGCAATGAAAATATCACATTGGGCCCCTGTATTTCTGCCACATATGTTCTTAAATCTGGCTCCTTGCTTAGTGTCATTGCCTCACAGTAGTATGTAACAAGCAGCACATACTGTCTTTCTTAGGGCTCTATTTTCGTGCCCGCTGGCGGCGCAGCGGAGGGTGGCGCACGCGGCATGGCGGAGGGTGGCGCACCCTGCGCAGTGGTATTTTTGCCTGCCAGAGCCCGGCACACAGCCAGTTTGGTATTTTTGTAGACTGAGGCACACCGAGGTCCGCCAAGCTGGGCATGGTGGCGCAGTAGGGGGAGGTGTCGACATAATTAGCTGGCACAGTGGCATTTCCAAGCTGTGTGCACTGAAAGCTCGCTGATTTAAACCTGGTCAGAATTAATAAACTTTAATTCTAAATAACCTGTTTGTCTGATGTTCTTTCATCCTTAATATTCTGTGAAAATTTAATCCGAAGTTAGACCCACATACAAATATTTTAATATTCAGCGGTAAGCCAAATTCACTATACAGTATATTCCATTAGTAAAAGAAAGAGCCAGGCCATGGAGCGCAATGTGTCCTTTACGCACAGGATGTTTCGATTTTTAATGTCATTATTGGCATTTTGTGATCTGTGCGCACAACCCACCTTTGTCATGTGGGGATTAAATATATGCAACTTGATGTGAGTAACTTTATTTATGGAAAGGGGTGTTTGTCTTACCCGTGGGTACAACCTTACACACACCAAATCTCTCTGTGCTTATTTGAGAGAGTGTGGAGGACGCCCTCTGCATTGCTTACTGTGACACTTGTTGAGGGGCTGCCTCCTGTCGCCATAGTGTGGCATTTCTGTCTTCAGCCATGTCTTGATCTCTTCCAGTACTTCACAAAAATTGTAATACACCTCACCGGTGGCGGATTTGAAGGTGAGGAGAGGAGCTGATGTGATTTGTGAAAACAGGACTCAGCTGTGTTAAACCCACTCCACGCCTGCTCCCCCTCCCTCTTTTCGACTTGTGCTGCTGGGAGGAGCTGAGTTAGGGAGGGGGGATACTTGCGGCGCAGCAAAATACCAAAATACCTAAGTGCGCTTGGGCACATCTCATCGGTGCGGCAGACCTGACTAGGCATGAAAATAGAGGCCTTAGTGTTAAGACAACACTTCTGTTTTTGTTGCTTTGAAAAGATTCCCCCCTGACACTCCTGACTCCTTCACATGCTCAGGTTCTGGTTCAGGTTCCGGTTCAGGCGCAGGGATGGAGGATTTTGCCACTTTGGATGCTCTCCTCCCAGCAAAGCTCATTCTCTGGCTTCTCCTCCTGCCTCACCCTTTTCCTTGTAGGAGGCATGTAGTCCCTTCTGTCTCTCTGGAGTTCATTGCAGAGCTTAATTTTTTCTAGGTGCTAATGTGCAACTTGGGACCTCAGTTCCTGCAGCATTATCTCTTTCTTTGCTGACCTCCTCAGCCATTGTTATTCTGTCTAAATGAGACTTGATTTCAGTCTCAAACCGACATTATTAGATCTCAGCCTGTTGCTGTAGAGAGGTGGTGTCAGACTCGTACTTCAGCTTGAGTTTTTTTATGTGCAGCTCTAAACCTTTCAATTTCTTCTTGGATAAGGCCAACTTTGTGTCTTTTCTTCCAGACCCCAGCTTTGATTGGTCCAGGCTGCTCTTGTGTGCAACTTGGAGCTCCTCTAACTCTATTTGGATGATTTTCTGGATGCTGAGCTTAGTTTTTGCTCATCTAGCTCAGTCCCTCTTGCTGCCTCCTGCTCCGCTTTTTCACAGGGTGGATATCGCCTCAGCCAATGACTTATGGACTGTATCCTACCCAGCCCTTAAGAATGTGACAAGGGTCTGGTGGTCTTCAGACTCTTCCTGAGTGTGAGCCTATGCTTGCTATTGGAGCTCACACTAAAGGATATGAGCTCTAATACAGGAGGTTTTCCACAGAGCAGGTACCTGCCCCAGCTGTAGACTCAGGTTGAAGATTCTATGGAGAGGTTGACACAGTTCTGCAGCACAGTCTTTAAGCACACTTGGACACACATTCTGGGCCATCTGCCTTCCCAGAGCAAAATCTTCCAAGCTCCAAACTCACCCCTGTTTTTGTGACAGACAAAGGCTGAGGTACTAGAAGGGAGGTCGCTGCAGCAGCAGAGACATGCAGGAG